AAATATGCACACTGTTTAGATAGCTCCAAGTGCTTAAAGTAGAGCCTGGTCTAACTTGTCTGGAGTTGGGGGTTTGATTCCCGCTCAGGGTCACTTTTTAATTTTTTTCAATGAATTTTTTTTGCTGCTAAGAAATAAATGCCTGGGCGTTTAATCGGTAAAATACGGTACATGTACATGTGGGTTATACCATGTATGTTTTTTATAGCCTCAATGCTTTTTCTTGTATACTGTATGCTAATTATGGGAATGTAGTACTTGTAGTGGTATTGAAATGTGTTTTATTGGTAGGGTCCAGTTTGTAAGCACAGTTGTTCTCCCTATGCTCTCTCCTGGTCATTGACTAGTATTGTTGCTGCTGGATGTGATAGGAGAGTTATGGTATACAACCACTCTGGTGAGATTATATTAATTATACACATGTACATGCGCATGCATGTATACATGCATGCACAGTATCTTAATTGCTTTTATATCGGGAGTTGTGCTATTAATACATGTACATGCACTTGTACATTGTTTGTGTGTATAACATGTACATGTGTTATGATTATTATTACACTGTACATGTAGGTAAGCCTATCCAACAGTTTGACTATTCAAAGGAAGAAGATGAGAAAGAGTTTATGTGTTCAGCAACATCTCCTAGTGGACAGACTGTTGTACTGGGGAGCTTCAACAGGTGAGAACAAGGATCTGTTTGTTCTAAAACTCTGGCAATAATATTCAACATAGTGTGTTACACATGTACATTTTGAACTATATGTTATTATCTTATTAATTTTCTTAAATTTTAGACTGAGGGTGTACAACTGGTCTCCTCGTAAGGAGATGTGGGATGAAGCAACTCCTAAGTTTATTGACAATCTTTACACCATCACTGCACTCACTTGGAAGAGAGATGGATCAAGATTAACATCTGTAATTATCTATCTCTGTGTATACACACAATACCGAATATTCATTCCTCCTTTTTTCTTTTTTTCATGCTTGCTCCCTTGCTTATAATAGTCTCTGCTAATAGTAAAAGGTTGACCAATGCATGTACATGTAGCCAATGTAGCTATAGTCTATAAAAGACTGCACTACAGATAATCTGTATAATACTTACATGTATATGTCATACTGCAATATTTGCATTTGTTTATTATACAGTAATAATGATACACGTACATGTAGGTAATGCTTTCTTTATATGTGTTTAGGGTTCATTGTGTGGAGCTGTTGATTTGTTTGATTGCTGTCTTAGACGTGTCACTTATCGTAATAAATTTGAACTAACTTATGTTGGACCCAGTCAGGTAGACACACTACATTATGTATTACGTTACTTTAAGCATCATAATAATAATTACCTATACGTACATGTACATGTACATGCATGCTCATGTAGGCGAATTGCATGTACATGTGTGTGTACATGTACATTACAATACTAGACATAAAATTTAACCTTTTTTTCTTCATTGCTTTATTATTAGGTGATAGTTAAGAATATTGGTACTGGTGCTCGTGTGATACTAAAGTCACAATTTGACTATGAGATAGAGAAGGTTGATGTCATGGGCAAGGACAGGTACCTAGTGGCCTACACCTCATCTACCATACTCCTGGGAGACATGGCCAACTGTAAACTCAGTGAGGTAAGAATGTACATGTACATGTGTACATGTATATTACATGTACATGCATGTATATATATACACATGTACATACTTCAATTATTTGCATGTACACGTACATGTACTAATTTTAGTGTTTTATAATTTGCTACTACTTTATGTCACTTTTATCTTGAATGTGTAAGATTAAAGATATACCATGTGTACATACATATACATGTACACATGTACATAAAGTGCATGTATTGTGTACTGGATTTTACATGTACATTGTAGCTTTAAATTTTATATAACTTATTTTTTTAATAATAATAGTTATTAATAACTTTTAATTTTTGTAATAATAATGATGTTTTCAAAACTATGTTATAGTTTATGATATCACGGTATCTCTTTATTCACTAACACTTTTCATTGGCTGCCTTATCGATAACAATCATTTTTGTACTTAAAATTAATGTAATGATCCTCCAATTTTGCCACTAATCATCTGCCTTATAAATGATATACAAATTATTATTATTATTATTATTATCTTTATTATTGTTGTTGTTATTATTGTTTAGATCATGTGGTCTGATACTGGTGGCAATGAGAAGTTTTATTTTGAGAATCAATCAGTTTGTATGATATTTAATGCTGGAGAGCTCACACTGGTGGAATATGGTATCAATGATATATTGGGATCTGTTAGAACTGAAGTTATGAACCCTCACCTCATTAGGTATGTCATGTGCATTATTTCTTAACTGAAACATAGTGTAAATAAATCATCAGGGGTATGGCATGTGTGCATACACCCTTTCAAAAATTGTTTTACTTGAGGAGTATTAGGCTTAGTTGCATGGGGCTTAGCTCTGACCTTTTAAAGCAGCCAGTTTGAATAGTTGCTAGTGGGTCTCACTTTTTACATTTTTGTGGTTTTACACATGAATCTCATTAATCATATGTACCTGCATGTTACAGGCTTTTTCACAGGATTTTGAGTTTTTGACATAGATGTAGTGCTCAGCAGCTTCTAGTGAGTGGATTCAAGTTATTCAAATTTGGCCCAATGACCTGTACTATTAGTAACGCGGTAGCGTTACTAAGTAGGATTCACCCCACTTCAAAATGGCTGCCATGACTTTTGCAGCCTTGCTATATAGTACAGGGTATTTTGAAAAAAGTCACAAGGAGAGAATTCTCTATTTTAATAATTTTTCTGATACATGTACATGTTTTTATGTTGTGTATCAACTTTGAGCTGATTCCAATCAAATTTGGATTTTTTATGAATATTTGAAGTTGCTCAAAAATTGGGCCAATTACCAGAGGCCAAATTTTGTCAAAAATGGCTTGGAGAAAAATTCTGGTTTTTATCATTTTTTCTGGTCGTATGTGTCCTTATGATATGTGTCAACTTTTAGCTATAATTTCGATCAAATTTGGATTCTTATGAATTTTTTAAGTTGCTCCAAATGCTATGTACTCTATTATAGTGCTTGCCAGCTCATGAAGAATGCTGTTTAGCTCACTATGGGAAACCATGATGTATATAGGCCCCTACCCATTCTCCTCCTGTG